AGCCCCTAACAGCTGGCAGTGTGTCCCTGCACACCGAACGTTTGCACCCGCGTGCCCGTTTGCTCTCAGTTGCCCTCGGTCAACTGTGGGCACCCGCGCATTTCACTCCTCTATACTTGTAGCACAGCGGTCGATGGTTCAATTCGATTCGATTTGACCCGGCATGGCGGTTCAAGCAATTGGCGAGTTTTGTGTTTTAGCTGATCGGCTGGTCGCGTGTGCGGTGGTGTCAAGTGTGGATCCTCCCGCCACTTTCAAGATTCAAGGTGAGCGTGGACGAGAGAGCTCCCTCCAATAATCCAGTTTTGCGGGCCTGCACCAACGTCCAAAACGGCGGATCAGCGTGGAAGAGTAGGCCAAATGCAAACCACTGCCGGTGTGTTCTCTAGGGCTCACCTCCAGTGGGAAGCCGCTTGCGCCGGCAGTGGAGTGAGTGAGCAATTGCAGGTGCTGCGCCTTCGTCCGACTTAATCTATTTGCATGTTGTTTAACACTTACGTGCGACTTATAACAGACAAACAAAATGTATCAGTGATTGTAATTCTTGAAAGTTGTAATTCGGCAAAGTGTTTAATTAACGCGGAAGACGAAACACAAACATTCGCCCAAATAGTCGACAAGGGTTCCGGCATCCTCACGCTCATCTAATGAGTCTCTCGTTTTCTCCAAGAGTAAATGAGCACCTTATTTATAACCAGACGAGACCCCAATTGGCAGCGAAACGCCTCTCTGTCGGGTGAGGCCTCGGTCACGACCGCGTAAAACAAATTTGTGATAATTACAAAACAGGCAGACGTCAGATTCCTGGTTCTTTCGGTAAAGTCACGTAGAAGGGAAACAATAAAATAATATTAAAAAATATATAAAACAATAAAATTCTCACGACGTTTCGACTGCAACACAAGCAATCATCATCAGGTGTGAAAACCACAGCAAGAAAAATTTGCTGTGGTTTTCACACCTGATGATGATTGCTTGTGTTGCAGTCGAAACGTCGTGAGAATTTTATTGTTTCATAGTTTTTTTTATAATGTTATTGTTTCCCTTCTACGTGACTTTACCGAAAGAACCAAGAATATGAATCCCTGCAGTCACGAAAGCTTTATATCAAAAGGAAGACGTCAGTTCATTTGGGAAAACGGCGCAGCCCTGCAACGGCTTGCTCGCGTCACTGCTTGGCGAGAGGGCCTCTGCTGGAGAGAGCTTAGGGGGGGAGGTGGGTGGGCGGCGAGCTCTTCGAAGGTGAGTATGGTCTCCTCTTCCACGCTTGGCCGGATGCTTCGGAATTTTTCGGGAGCGCCCACGCGTTACCCCCCCCCCTCCCCCGCAACACGGGACCTGGCGATCAACAGAGGTGTCCAGGCGGGTTTTAATCATAATAATAAACACTGGATTGGCTTTGTTTACTTTATTTTATTAAATAGAATCGGCTTTGCTCATCATCAGCCATCTCTATAGCTCTGGTCTTTTAACCCAATACTAAAAGCAAACCTCTAAAAACTATTTTTTTTTTTTATCTTACCAGGTAAGACCCACTAGGCTATGTAGCTCTGTTTCAGAGCTGGCCACAAATGATAGCTCAACGAATGTGGCTAATCACGTGGAAATGTATATCAGGCAAATACTATAAACGCGTCGTGTTGCTTCCAATTGCGGAGGAGAAAAAACCCGCTGGAGGCTGCAGAAAAAAATCCAACACGACCGCGGGGGAGAGAGGCGAGCAAATATACAGCAGGCGTCAGGGTCGGGATAGAACGCACGACCTCCTGTATACCGGGCGAGGTGGTTAACATCTCATAGCCACTGTGGCGAGCTGTAGGCCAACGCACAACCTGTAGAGGGGGCATCTCGAGAGTTCCCTCAAGCGGAAGGCCCTTCGGCCAAAACAGTGGCGCGAGGGAGAAACTTGCTGGTGCTGCGGCTTTACCATGTTTTTTTTCGTCCAAAAACCTGCTTCCAGACAGCTAAAATCCTCTCGTTTTTATAAATCGCATCGCCCTAATCAAGAACAGGAGGCGCCGGGGGTGGGTGCGCGACGATTATTCTTTTTTCGTGCGCAGAGTGGATAACGACATGGAGCGATTTGCTGCTTCGAGAGATTGTCCGCGCTTGATTTTATAATCGGGTCTCGGCAACGCACCGGGTCACCGCGGATTGCTTTATATATTTTTTTTGTGCGTGTGGTTCCTCGTTCAAGGAGGGGTACGCGGAGAATTGCCTCCGATCGGGCAAGCGAGCAGCGGCGTTTAAGTCGTAGCCTGATCAGTGCACTCACGCTCCAGCCTCTGGGCGAACGCTTAAGCCAGTGGAGAGAGAGAGAGTTAAGTAAATCCCTGCGTTCGTCTCTCGCAGCGATGCCGCTTTTCCCCGATAATGGGGCTCGCTTGGGCGCCCCTTTAATAAAATATAGCCCAGCGTTGGACTCTCTGGCTACGGTTCCCACTTATCCTGGTTACATCCCAGTTCGCGGTTTTCTTCTGGTTGTTGTTGTTCTTCTTCTTCCTCCGCTTCCTCTTCTTCATCCTCTTCTTATTCTTCCTCTATTTCTTCCTCCTATTCTTCTTCCTCTACTTCTGCTGCTTCTTCTTCCTATTCCTCGTCTTCCTCTTCTGCTTTCTCTTCTTCTTATCTTTGAGGAGGTAGCCGTCCTTGGGAAAATCTGTAAGTCTTCCCAAGACATTAAATGCTGAAGCTTCACTCCATCGGGAACAGCCCCCGAAATCGCTGTTCCGTGGATCAGCTTGTCACGCTACACCCATCTCGCGTCATGTTATCCCCTTGATAGCTGCTTTGTCCCTCGTAGGATTTGGGAATAATACGGCACAATAATATAGGATTGCTATGGATAGGCATAACTTTGTGGTCGAGTATTTGTGCAAAGTAATCCTTACTTCCAGGGCAGTCACTCGCAGCGTTCGGGGAAATAAAACATATCGAGAGAGAACTTGAGGTGTAGATTAAACGCCTCGGTGGAAGGCACTTTAGAGCCTGAACGAGAAGCAATTACGATGATCATCATCATGATGATAATGCTACTGCCGCTGATAACGATAATAGTGACAATTCTGCTCCTGCTGCAGCAGGGTGATGATAATGCTTCTGCTGCAGCTGCTTCTGCTGCTTGTGTTGTTGCTGCTTCTGCAGTTTGGTGCGAGTGACGCTATTGCTGCTGCTGACATTGATGATGATGGTGGTGCTGCTGCTGCTGACATTGATGATGATACCGTTGCCTCTCTTGCTGCTGCCGATGGCGACGATTCTACATCTCCAAATGCTGCCCATGCAGCAGTGGACAGCAACCCCCAGAGTAGTGACGGCGGTACAGTACAGGGCTTGGCCCAGGCTTGCTGTCAGACTGCGGCACAGGGACAGGGTCTCCTATTAATAAGAATGTCCTTTTATAAATTGAAAGGGGTATGTGGGAGCGGGGTGGGTGATGGGCAAAAATAATTTCTGCATGAGGTCCCTCACCGCCACCCCCTCTCCCAGCTATGGGTCTGGCTCCACTGCAGCTCACGTCAACCCCCGTACCCACAACTCCCCCAGCGACAACCGGGACTCGACGTGGACGCGGTTTTGGCGCGACGTCTCTGTCTGCGACTGCAGCGGTAGCAGCAGCAGCAGTAGCGGCAGCAGTAGCAGCAGTAGCAGCAGCAGCCCGAGTAGGTCGTCACCTGTTACTCGCTGTCGCGGTTACAAAGTGGCTTGATGAGGTTAGGAATTAGGGAACAAGGCGGACAGACAGACCACGGAATGCGCTCACTCCCTCGTACGGGATCAGACAAGCGCAAATGCAGACACAGAAATGAAAGAAACACACTGGCACAGGTCATAGACGACGCCCCGAATACACCTCGAGACAAACACCCAGACCTGGAATAGATGGACCAGGATCTCCCCTGCACCCCAACGATCCACGCACTACAGGATCCAGACAGAGGTGCGGCGCACGCACATATGAAGGCCACCACGGCACACAAGGGGGTGGATGACCAGCGCCACGCCCGGCCGCCTTTGTCTCCCTAGTGACAACGTTTACACATCGCACCAGGTACTCATTTGAGGCTGAATCGACCTAGGGGAGGTCCAGGACCGGCTCAGATAATCGCCACCGGTGTTGGTGGCCGTCACACAGACACAACAACAACCGCCATTCGTCACGAGGTGGCGGTGATGTCACCACGACGCTTGTGCCAGGCCATGTGCACCTTGAGGCCACGTGAAGTGTCGAACGCCAGCTGACAAGAGGTCGCGGGGCAGACCCAGGTGCCATGGGTCGACTGACTGAGATGACTGGCTGATGCACCACCTGTGCCCCCTACTGTGCCAACTTTCTATGCCTTAGCCACCGGGCGCTCCGCTTGTTGTTGTGAGCGTCGCTCCTCCGCCCTCCGTTGTTGTTGAAGGACGACAGACACACGCACAGACACACAGACACACACACACCCATTGAGGGCAAACAGCCAGGCAAGACCACAGACCGCCCTCACACGGACCAGTGAATGCACACACGTGGCCTGCCTGTCTATCTGCCTGTCTGCTCGAGACACACACCAAAGGCGAAGAACAACCGGCCAAGGACCCCAGGTCACTTCAGGCTGTAGCCGGGAGATTCGCGCACACACGGACGGACACGCGGACACGCGCAGTGCGAGCAGACGGACATATGTGGCCATGAAGCGCAGAGGGCTTGAAATCCACGGCAATAGCGTAATGAAGGCCCTTGGGATGCACAGAACGATCAGCAACAAAAAAAACACGTGGAGCGCAAATAGACAGCGGTGGTAGCTGCGAGCGTGGGAGCGCGCTGGGCTCCGTTCAGGGGCCTCCACTTCGACCACAATGAACAGGCGGCGACGTTCAAATCTGCAGGGGTGGCCCGGCCGCCTCTTCTCGGGGTGAGGGCCTGCCATGAACCCGCTGGTAATAAGAACGAAGGCCGTGGCTTGCGTATGTACGTGCGCGCGCGCGTGTGATTTTTTGTTGTTGTTGTTGTGAAGGACGCTACTACTGGGGAGTTGGAGGCTGTCGCCCTCCGGCAACGACGACGGAGGGACAGAGCAGCGACGCTCGCAACAACGAGCGGAGCGCCGGGTTGGCTGAAACGCAGCGAGTGGCACGGTGGGGGGAACAGGTGGCGCGTCTGCGTTCATGTCAGTCAGTCAAGCCATGGCACCTGGGTCTGTCCCCTGACCTCCTGTCAGCGGTGCCTTCCACAACTTCGACGCGTGGCCTCGAAGTGCACCTGGCCTGGCACAAGCGCCGTGGTGATCTCACCGCCACTTAGTGGTGAACGGCGGCTGTTGGTGTTGCTACGGTTGTTGTTTGACGTTTCGCGATTGGGGCTCTCATCTCACGCCGGCTTGCTTTTTTTTTGTTCTGCCGTTCTTCATTCGTTCCGCCGCCTCCCCCCAGGGTCGCGGGCTCCGCGATGAAGTCACGGAGTCTTCGAGCGGAACGAAAAGCGAGGCGCAGAAAATCTTAGAGCGGAAAAAAAGAAGGTCTCAAAAGTCCCGACCAGCTGGCCTGCGGTGCAGGAATGATGAGCAGCCGACAGGCCTGGCCTGGCCTTGCTCCGCGATAGGAGCCGGGGGGGGGGGGGGGGGGGCACCGCGGAATCCAGCCGGGATTTTTGGAGTGGCTCTGGTTGAGATTTTAAGATCCACGAACACAAAGACACGTGGTGGAGGCAGCAAAGGCGCTGTCGTCGCTAGCTCCCTTGCGCTATGCCTCACACACAACACCCCCGGCGACCCGAGTTCGATTCCGGGCCACGGCCAGCGTCAGCGGTGATTAATAATTATCTGAACCGATCCTGGGCCTCTCGTAGGTCGACTCGTGCTTAAATGAGTGGCTGGTGGGTGCGGTGCGAGAAAACAAAACTTCGACCCTGGAGAGAGACAAAGGTGGCCGGACGTTGACCGCTCACCTCTCGATCACCCCCCCCCCCTCCCCACTTGTGCAATGTATTGCACGGCCTTCGTAGCTTATTGCAAAACAGCACCTTGCGCCCAACACGGTGGGACGTTTCGCGCGCGCGCGCGATCGAGTCGTGAAATTCTTTCGAGCGAAATGAGAAGGGGGCGAAGTGCGACGAAGGGGACGCCGAGGCGTCGATCCCGACAGCCGACTGCAGCGCTGCGATGACGAGCGACCCGCAGACCCGACCCGACCTTGCCTCCGCCTCGGACGCCGAGGAATCCTCGTGGAAACCCCAGTCGGTGGTGGTGGGGGGGTGGCTACGGTTATGATTCACACACAAAGACATTGGCGACGAATCCCCGTGTAGCGTATACAGTGCGCTTCAAAAGAATGTTAACACTTACACGGGACTATCGTTTTAAATGGAAAAAGAACGAATAATAAATACACTGTAACGTGATAACAAATGGCATGTAGCTTCAAAAAGTCAAAGAGTCAAAGAGTCTCCCACTCGTTCGCTATCATTGTCACCGCATGCCTGGAATCTTCTCCTGGTGGTCTCCAGAGCCAGGAGGCACATTTTCTCGTGGTGTTGTTGCAAATTCTCAGGGAGTGTTAACATGTTTTTGAAGCACGCTGTACACGGAGTGTTTGGGCGCTCGTTGCTATTTGCGAGTCCGACGTTCTTGCCACCCTCGTGTCTCCAACGGTTTACACACCGCACCAGATACTTATTTCAGGATGAGTTGACCTAAGGGAGGCCAAAGATGGCTGGAATTTAACTCGCGGTGTGGTGGGCACCATATCGGGTGTACGCAGCATTTGAGGCTGAGTCGACGTAGTGGCGGTTCAGGACCTGTTCAATATATACTTCGGCAACTGATATAGGAATAGGTTTTACCTTTTTAACTGGCACAAAAACTGACACCTTTATTCAAGGCATCATGTTTGCAATAACCACAACACAAGCAGTCAAAATGCAAACAAAAAAGACAACTCTGATAATAATAATATGCACTGTCCTTGAATTTGATTGGTTCACACCCGAGACGGCTTTTCTTAGAGCCTAGTCTCCACTGGTGTTGGACCAGAAGACGCCAAAAGGCGTACAACTAAAAAACAGCGCACTATCAGAGTATTGAGGGCTCGGGGTGAGCATTTACATTATGAGACCTCCTTTGCCAGTAACAAGATATAGGAATAGGTTTTACCCTTTTAACTGGCACAAAAAACTGACACCTTTATTCAAGGCATCATGTTTGCAATAACCACAACACAAGTAGTCAAAATGCAAACAAAAAAGACAACTCTGATAATAGTATGCACTGTCCTTGAATTCGCCAACTGATGTTAGCATCGAACTCGGGATAGATGGGTTCATAGCACAGTGTGCGAAACACTACAACAACCCCACTCCCCCACACACACCGGGTCCACACACACGCGCGCGCGCACACACACACACGTGTACACGTGCAAGGGCTGGCTTGCACGCATGACTTCTCTCGCACCACAGGGGGTTTAAACACTCAAAGAGATTTGTCTGCATAGCCACACGCACACACAGAGACAAAGATCCCCCGTATAGCCGTACACAAGCAGTTGGGGAAAGTGCTGTTAGCCAGCACCTATGAAGGCCGACACTGCCACACGAAACAATGCCCACAAAGACAAAACATCCCCCGTGTAGCCTTAACAGACTGTAGGGACAAGTGCTGTTAGAGAGCACCTATGAAGGCGGGAACGGTACACGAGGGGGTGGGTGGCCAGCACCACGCCCGGCCGCCTTTGTCTCCCCAGTGGCGATGTTTACACACCGTAACCAGGTACTCTTTTGAGGCTGAGTCGACCTAGGTGAGGCCCAGGACCGGTGCAGATATTCGTCACTGGTGTTAGCCGTGAGCGGGAATCGAACTCGGCGGCGTAGCGCTAACCGCTACACTACCGCTCCCCCCACACACACACACGTACACAGTACACACACTCTCTCCCACGTGCTCCCAATCTCAGTCTCAAACTCAAACGCACGCGAGGTCGCTGCCGCGATTCTGCCACAGTCGCCTCCCAGGGACCTGGACAGGGGTCAGAGCGGCCCGGGGGGCGGGGGGGAGGGGCGGGGTCGGCATTAGAACCACGTGAAGCAGAGCGCAGAGGAGAGGCGAGCTCCTCCGCGTCAACTCGCGCTGTCAAACCTACGGATCGGGGGGTCCCCCTCTCTCTCTCTCCTCCCTTCTCTGCTGCTCTTCGTCTCCCTGGCCGAGCTGACCTGCGCCGTGCCCTTGCAGGATATGGCAGCCAATTAGACGCAATTTAAGGATTTTTATTTATAAAAAAAAAAACACGAGATCGAAAATGCGGCTCGCTGGGATTGTAATGCTCTGCGTGTGCGTCTGTGTGTACGCGTCTGTGTATAAATGATGAACGGTAGTGTCGCGGTTAGCGCGCTGCGCTACGAACCCGGCGACCCGAGTTCGATTCCCGCTCATTGCCAATAACGTGGTGCTGGCCACTCAACCCCCTCGTGTACCATTCCGGCCTTCGCAAATGCTCGCGAACGGCACTTGCCCCAAGTCTGTTACAGACTACATGGGCGGATATTTGTTCTCGCGTGCACACGATTACATATGAAAGTGTCCAAATCCTAACACGAAGGCAGAGACGAACCCCCCCTCCCCCCAAATAGTCTTCAACAGACTGTTGGGGAAAGTGCTGTCACGAAGTACGGCACAGCACACGAGGCGGTGAATGTACAGAACCACGCCCGGCCGCCTTTGTCTCCCCAGTGCTGATGTTTACACCCTCGCACCAGGTGCTCATTTGAGGCTGAGTCGACCTGGGGAAGGATCAGCTGAACCGGTGCAAATACCCGTCAAGGGTGTTGGCCGTGAGCGGGAATTGCACTCTGAGTCGCCGCGGGGTTCATAGCGCGCTAACCACTGCGCCACCGGCCCCCCCCCCCCCCCCCTCGACACACACCAACGCACGCCCACGCACTCCCAACGCGACGCAGAATCTCCGTGTTCACATTCTAACCGAGGCATCTCAAGCAGCCGACGAGGTTGCAGGGAATCGAAGGGCAACGCTTTGTAATTATAATGGCAGCAGAGGGGGGCTGTCCATAAATGACGTCACGCAGATGGGGGGGGGGGTCACACATTTGCGACAATGTGTGACGAGGGGGGGGGCGGGTTGAGAAATGTGACGTCACATCAAAATGCGCAACTTTAAGTAAATATAGACAGCACGTTCTACTTAATTAAATAGACTTTTTAATAAATGTTTTCTCCTACAACATCAGAGTGGTGCAGCACCACATTAAATACGCACTACAATGACAATAGTTTAAAGCGATTTGAAGCATGTTTCATTTTTTTTCGGGGGGAGGGGCAGAGCTTTGTGACGTCATATTTGAGAGGGGGTGCTGACTTTTTTGTGACGCCGTGTGACGATGGGGAGGGGTGGGAGGGTAAAAAAAAATCGTCCAAAATCGCGTGACGTCATTTATGGACGGACTCAGTGTTGCTGCCTCTCTGTGAGATTTGTCCTCGGCATCTCCAGAATGCACGGCACGGCGCTGATGATCGATGCCAGCCACCTACCCCCCCCCCCCCCCCATGTAGATTATTAAAAATGATTATTTACGGTGGCGAGCCACAGTAATCGTTACCGCGCTGATTGCGTCTCGGCCCGAAGGTGATAAAAGATTACCGGCAGATTTACGCCGCTGATTACCGATATTGATAACAGTGGCATCGAGATAACGCTGATTGATCGCGGTGATGATGAAATGCAGCCGGTGATCAATGAAGGTGATTACGCTGATGCTGATTGATTTATCAGAAGCGATATTTGCTGCGCTAATAAAGCGACGCCAGATGTGGTTTGTGACTCACAATAGAGGCGGCCCTTGTGTTCCTTTTTTTTTCCTCTCCCGGCATTCATATTTAAAGAGCGCGAGGCTATGCCCAACTTATTTATGAGACTATCCCTCGTAGCCACAAACATGAGACTTATAATCCCAATTACGAACGTGATGGAACCACGGAAGCAGAACCTCCGAGTTCTGCGCCGCGGACGCGTAGCGCCGGCAACAACAACAACAGCATCAACAACAGCAGCAGCAGCAACATCAGTAGCGAGTAGCACCTATGAAAGGCATGGCCGGCACACGAGGGGGTGGGTGGCCAACACCACGCCCGGCCGCTTTTATCTCCCGAGTGGCGATGTTTACTACACACCGCACCAGGTACTCATTTGAAGCTGAGTCGACCTAGGGGAGGCCCAGGACCGGCTCAGATAATCGTTACCGGTGTCGGCCGTGGAGCGGGAATCGAACTCGGGTCGCCGGGTTCGTAGCGCAGCGCGCCAAACCACTGCGCCACCGCTCCCCACACTCAGCTCTGCGCGCACTCCCCTCCCGTAGTAGGCCTGTCACGTGGCCTGGTTTCAATTGTGGGGGCGGTGGCGATGGTGCATGACGCAGTCAATGTTAAACTTACAACAAATAGCAATCTTTTGGAGAACGTAATCAACCAGGTAGGGTGTTGACTGTTGTGTTAGCCGACTCTCTGTGTTGTATTGAATTACATTTCTAAGCGTACTAGGTTTGTTTTGTCATTCATTCTTACCTGATGACGGTTGCTTGTGTTGCAATCGAAACGTCGTATTCTATTATTTAATTTATTTTCTTTCTACGTGACTTTATCGAAAGAACCAAGAGTAATTTCTGCGGTCACGAAAGCTTCAAATCAAGTTCAAATTAAGCTGCAACAAATGTTAAACGCGTAAACGGAACGAGCAAACGATGCGATCAACTCGTCGTCTATCGCCGTGCTCTGGCACACGCCGCCCCCCACCACCACCACCCCAGCCCCCCACAATGGTGCAGGGTTTTGCAGTATGACATTTGGTGGCCTCTTGAAATGATGCAACTTTTACGTTGATTTTGTTTGTTTCGTAAATTGTGCCGTTCGGCGACGCGTCGCGAGACGGAGAATAATGCCCTCGGAGCTCTCGCTGATCGGCGTCACCTCGAGGGTGAGAGAACGCGCCCGAGGAAGCGGACACCGCAGAGGTACCTCTGAGAGCCCTTCAAGTGACCTCTGGTCCACGGGAAAATGAGGCCCAACTTTCCCACCCGCTATGCCAAACGAGAGCGATGTTCGTTGCGTGACATTCAAACTGATATTTCTGTGATTCTCAGAGCTGGAATATCGCCTAATTGAAGTGTCAAACCACATGTAATGTCATGGATCTTTTCTGTGTGCAGTCATTTATGGCCCAAACTGAGAACATCAACTTACCTGGATTTATCCATGCGGCTGCCTTAATTTGAACCCAGGATCCGAACGGTTGCCAGCACCAGCAAATCTCAGGTCTGCACCAAAGCTCAGGGAACCTTCATCACTTTAGCAAACGGCCATCCCCCCTACCCCTCCCAAATCGTGGAATGACCCGCGCATCGACATAGGAATGTGTAATTTCCACGTTCTAACTTGGAGCCGTCAGCGATACAGAAAGCACACGGTCGTCGCGTGCGACGTCAGCGGCACGGCTCAGGTTCCGCAGTGGAAACAAATAACCTTGTGCCTCCTGTTTGGCCCGGCACGTCCCCGGCACGGCTCGATTGTGCAGTGGTGAAAGGGGTATACGGAACTCCTGGTTACCTCTGGATTTAAAGATGTCAACGCGCAGCATGAAGGCGTGGTTCATTTTTTTTTTGTCAGCGGCACATGTGCACCACGGTGGCAAGATGTTAACTACCTCGCCTGGTATACATGAGGTCGTGTGTTTGATCCCGACACTAAAACCTGCTTCATATTTTGAAGTTTGTGTGTGTGTGTGTGTCTCTCTCTCCCTGTTTTCCCCTCAACATTCAGAATCCAACATCACTCGTTTAGATTATTTGGCTTACTGCTATACATTTCCGCACGGAGAGAAGGCACTTCGTTGAGCTATCATTTGTGATAGCCAGGTCGATTTC